TTCACCGGCGGCGGCCTCTCCTTCGCCGCGACCGGAGACAAGCTGCACTATGAGACCCCCGTCCTGCACCTCCGCTCCTCGGCCCCCATCATTCTTCTACTACGATACGCATGGTTGTGCTCAACTGGCCTTGCCATTTTACCTTCCAGATCTGAGCTCAGTTCCTCCTCGACGCTAGACCTCTACCGCCAAGTAGCCGCCGCCTCCTGACCTGTCGCCGCGGCCCTGCCTGCAGCTCTGATTTCTGGTGAGTTCCCTGCTTCTCTTCGTGCTGAGTATTTAACCAAAAACTACCACAATTGACGGAAACGTGACAAAAAACTACCACTTTACGTTTTTGTGCGAAAAACTACCACTTTTTGTCTAATCTTTGACTAAAAACTACCATGTCAGAAAAGCGCCCGATTCGCCTCTTCTAAACACCTTTCTGACAGGATGGGCCCACCTGTCAGCATCAATCTTCTTCCTCCTTTCTCTGGCATTTCCTCAAACACCTCACGTGCACTCCGCCGCTTTGCCCCCACCGGCCGGCAAGCCCCGCTACCTGCGCCACCTTTCTACGACAGCCTGCGGCGTCCGTCTGGCCGTGCGACGGCGCCATGGGTGGCTGCTACTCTGTCATCGCGGCCTCCAGGATGCTGGCCCGGAGGCGCGCCGCTGCCGCCATCATGCCCGTGGCCAGCGCCGCCGACTGCCCCCCGACAGCGACGCCAACAGCGGCAGCTGCTGCTGCAAGAAGAAGCGCAGGTCGACCCTGGGCGACGACGACCAGTGCGCGCCCGGCGGGGAGGGCTTCGCCAAGCGGTATCGGCTGGGCGCGGAGCTGGGGCGCGGGGAGTTCGGGGTGACGCGCCGCTGCGAGCACGCGGCCACGGGCGAGGCGCTGACCTGCAAGACCACCCGCCGCAAGCGGCTGCGTCGCGCCGCCGACGCCGAGGACATGCAGCGGGAGGTGGAGATCCGGCGGCGCATGTCGGCGCTGGAGGGTGCAGGCGGCGCCGTGGTGCGGCTCCGCGAGGCCTGCAAGGACGCCGAGGGCGTGCACCTGGTGATGGAGTTGTGCGAGGGCGGCGAGCTCTTCGACCGCATCTTCGCCCGAGCTCTTCGCCGGCAAGGAGGAGGACTCGCCGCTCAAGGCCATCGACTTCGTTCTCTCCGTCTACTTCGAGCCCGGGGAGCGGTTCACCAAGGTGGTCGGCAGCGCAGGTGGTGGGACTCGCCGGCCGGCGGGGGCAAAGCGGCAGAGCGGTGGAGTGCACTTAAGGTGTTCGTGGAAATGAGAGAGAGAGAGGAGGAAGAAGATTGATGCTGACAGGTGGGCCCAACCGGTCGGATTCGGGGTTAGCGCGGGTGAATCGGGCGCTTTTCTGACATGGTAGTTTTTAGTCAAAGATTAGACAAAAAGTGGTAGTTTTTCGCACAAAAACGTAAAGTGGTAGTTTTTCGTCACGTTTCCGTCAATTGTGGTAGTTTTTGGTTAAATACTCCTTCGTGCTTAATTTCCGTGTGCTGGGAGCCACCATCTTTTCGATTTCCCTTTGCTGGAAGTAGGGTGTGCTATGGTTAGGAGTACCACTGTGCTTGATTTAGTATGTATACTAGATAGAATGCAATGCTACCAATGGATTGACGCATGCAGTATGCCATCCTATTTCTTTGTAAAAGTTAATTTCAGCATCCCTCGATTAAATGTCTTATGAGTACATTATCCCAGTAACCCATTAGTAAAACCATCAGATGGATTTTCATTCTACTTATTAAACACCAGAAACAATTTGTCCCCCTGATTTGTCTAGGTAAAAGCAGGTCGGCGGCATCCTTATTGTTGTAAAATCTAGCTAACAGTAGGCATGACATGAGATGCATGAAATTCAAGGAATACGAGTGCTAGAAAGTGGTGGGTTAGTAAGTTGATTTTTTACTACTGAAATAAAATGAAATTGCCGGTTCGAATGGGATAAATTGATTTGTCAACTATTTCCTTTTGTCTTATTTTTCTATCATTCATTTCTGATAAGTGTCAAAATTTTCATTTCAGTGTCAGTAGGCTGATGCGAAGACATGGACCTTCGCAAGGAAGTTAACGCCGCTAAGTTAACTGATGATCTAGTGGTCGATATCCTCTCCCGCTTGACATACAAGGACTTTTGCCGCTGCAAATGTGCCTATAAGGCCTGGTCTACCTTCTCCTCCGATCCAGACTACCGCAAAAGGCTGCCCAAAAAAGTAACCACTGGACTTCTGTACCAAGACCGCAATAAGTCTGCTATCCCGCTTGTAAGCCTGTCCCGAGATGATGGAGAAATCGATGGAATTCTTGCTGACGTACCACACTATGAGCATTTAGAGTTTCTTGACTGCTGCAATGGTCTAGTCCTCTGCAAGTACAAGAACAGCTATACTTCCCCAGGCATTTGCCGCTTTGTTGTGTGCAACCCAGCAACTCGAGAGTGGAGAATACTTCCTGATACTTTTGTTGGGACTGATAGCCACCGTTGTACAACTATTTTGGCCTTTGATCCTTCATGGTCACCACACTTCTATGTCTTCAACTTTAATCGCCATTTCTTCAGTTTGGTGGGCAAACTTGAGATGTTTTCGTCTGCCGGTTCCACGTGGCTTGTGGATGATGAATGGGATTCTGAGATAACTTTTTCATGGGGGAAGCCTCACTTATTTCTTAATGGAATGTTGTGCGTGGAGATTAGGGGACAGCAAGTTTTGGTGTTTGAAGGTTTGGAGACAATGAGCGATGGCATACTGCCCTATCATTACACCATTGACTTGCCATTTGACTCTTTACCCGTGAGTAGTTTCACTGATGGCTGCTTTGACAAATCTTCAGGGATCTTACACTACGCATTGCCAGATAGGAGTGGTCATTCCATTGTAGTTTGGACTTTGGAGGATTATGCTCATCGTTTATGGCATTGGAGCCTGAAGTGCCATCTTAACATGGAAGATGCATTTGGAAGGAAAGACTTAGTTTACTTTGACAATGGAGGCATCGATGGTGCCTCCGACTGGTTTTGGAACTGCGATTACCGGATTCTTGCTCTCGACTTGCAGAGGGAGCTTGTTGTCCTCTCTGACCATAAGACAATGAAGCTTATCTCTTACAATATCAGCACCGGGGAACTTAATGAGATACGAGACGGCCTTGAGGGGTATCGATACTATGTGCCATGCTACTCAAAGCTTCCAGCCCAAGAACCTTCGGTGTAGTGTCATCTTCTGTAATCAGTGCCTCTGTGACTGTTCCTATGCTCTAGATGCTGAACTACCTTGTGTAATTATGCTAGTCGGTGAACCCTATCGTTTTATTTTGTTGATGCAGGGGTGATATACTACCCTCCTGTACTGACGAAAAACTCTTCGCCATATGCCCCGGTTTACTACCTCCTAAGTTTGTTATATGTAAGATTACATGTCTTTCTTAGGCTCAGTATCATTGTGGTGTTTTTTCATGAGCAATTGTTTATATCTGTTTGTGGATAAGATCTCACTTTTGTAGATAGAGCCTGATATCAGTTATTTGAGTTTGCATTACAACTCTACATTACACCTGCGACTATATGATGCTTTGCTTTTGACAAGTAATACTGTTACATCAGATTAAGCAGAAATATTCTCTGCATGTGTGGTACTGAAACTGGATCGAATGAATGTATTGTGTGAACCAAGGGATATGCATCCCAACATGGCATATGCATGATCTTTAGTTGGCAGCTTCGAATGACACATCCCAACAAGGATGCCACCAGCTGAAGCTATTGCAGGTAGAGTGTTCCAACAGCAAACTCTGCTTCCAACTAAAGATTAAGGAAAGATTCAGATAGGCTTCCTTTCTTGGTCTATTGGAAATCAAATAATAAAGGCCTAGGTTTGCTAATGAAATCAGTCAAAATTTCACTTTCTACCCGTGGCATGCAACTCTCATCCTAACTCCTTTTAACCTTTGAATGCAGGCCCGAAGTTTCAAGATCAAATGATGGAGATTGTGCCGTGCCAGGAAACGAAGGTTAGCTCATTAAAATTTGTATATCTAATTTGCACACAGGATACACTTTTTATGAACTCCTGCCTCCTCCAGGGGCTACTTGGTTATACTTGTTTCGTCACACTATGAGTCTTGTCGAAATTCCACCACGTGGAGTTTGCACACATCTGGTGACTTTTAGTAGTGGCCAACACTCTAGCCAGATTGATTTCATCCTCTCGAGAAGGGAAGATAGGCGTGCGTGCCTAGACTGTAAGGTGATACCTAGAGAGAGTGTTGTACCCCAGCATAAGCTGGTGGTTGCTGACTTCCGCTTTCGGATTCGTGTCCAGTAGGATAAGCGGGCTAAAGTCGCTAGAACGAAGTGGTGGAAGCTCAAGGGGGAGGTAGCTCAGGCGTTCAAGGAGAGGGTCATTAAGGAGGGCCCTTGGGAGGAAGGAGGGGATGCGGACAATGTGTGGATGAAGATGGCGACTTGCATTCATAAGGTGGCCTCAGAGGAGTTTGGAGTGTCCAGGGGAAGGAGAAGCGAAGATAAGGATACCTGGTGGTGGAATGATGATGTCCAGAAGGCGATTAAAGAGAAGAAAGATTGCTTCAGACACCTATACCTGGATAGGAGTGCACACAACATAGAGAAGTACAAGATGGCGAAGAAGGCCGCAAAGCGAGCTGTTGGTGAAGCAAGGGGTCGGGCGTATGAGGACCTCTACCAACGGTTAGGCACGAAGGAAGGCGAAAGGGACATCTATAAGATGGCCAAGATCCGAGAGAGGAAGACGAGGGATATTGGCCAAGTCAAATGTGTAAGACAATAGGCTTTGGGGGGAACCGGCACAACCCTCTAGGGGTGGCCTATCACATATATATATAATGAGGTGGTATACAACGTTACAATATACACATGTAAATACAGTCTAACACCCTCCCTCAATCTTAGCCACTTTCTAATGAATCTAGAAGGGTAAGATTGCGCCTGCAAGTCTCAAACTGTGGCAAAGGCAATGGCTTGGTGAAGATGTCAGCAAGTTGATCCTTGGAAGAAATAAACTTGATCTGTAGTTGCTTCTGAGAGACACGTTCACGCACAAAGTGATAGTCAACTTCAATGTGTTTCGTTCGGGCATGGAATACCGGATTTGCAGAAAGATATGTAGCACCGATGTTATCACACCAAAGAACAGGAGGCTGTGATTGGGGTATACTTAACTCCTGAAGCAAGGACTGTACCCAGATAATCTCTGACGTGGCATTGGCCACAGCCTTATACTCAGCCTCAGTACTGCTACGCGAGACAGTAGCCTGTTTCCGAGCACTCCAGGCAATCAGGTTAGAGCCAAAGAAGACAGCATAACCCCCCGTGGATCGCCTGTCATCCGGATTGCCAGCCCAGTCTGCATCAGAATATGCTGAAAGACATCCAGAGTCAGACGGCCGAATATGCAAACCATGAGCCACCGTGAAACGAATATAGCGCAAAATCCGCTTAACAGCAGACCAATGAGTGTCACGGGGTGACTGCAGATACTGACAGACTCGGTTAACAGCATAGGAAATGTCTGGTCGCGTGATCGTCAAGTACTGGAGCCCACCAACAATACTCCAGTACTCGGTCGCATCAGAAGAAGAAAGAAGCACACCATCAACAGCATTGAGCTTATCAGTGGTAGACATGGGTGTAGTCGTCGGTTTGCACTTAAGCATCCCAGCTCGCTGCAACAAATCCAGAGAGTACTTCTTCTGCGTCATAACAAGGCTAGCAGCACGAGAAGTAACCTCCACATCAAGAAAGTAATGAAGCTTCCCAAGGTCCTTGACCGCAAAATCAGCACCAAGTGAGCGAACAAGCGCAGTAGCAGCCGACTGAGAGGAGCTGACCAAAATGATATCATCTACATAGACCAACAAGTACATAGTAACCTCAGGCCTTTGAAGAAGAAACAATGAGGAGTCAGCAGTTGATGATGCAAAACCATGAGCACGAAGAGCCATTGCAAGACGAGCATGCCAAGCACGAGGAGCCTGCTTCAGACCATAAATTGCCTTGGACAGACGACAGAGATGATCAGGGCGATCCGGATCAGAGAAACCCGGAGGCTGGCGCATGTAAACCTCCTCCGCCAAGACACCATGAAGAAAAGCATTTTGAACATCAAGCTGACGAAGAAACCAACCTCGAGTAACAGCCAGAGAGAGAAGAAGTCTGATGGTAGTAGGCTTGACCACTGGACTGAAGGTGTCTTCATAGTCAAGTCCAAAACGCTGTCGAAAACCACGAGCAACCAGACGAGCCTTATAGCGCTCAATGGACCCATCAGAATGCCTCTTCACTTTGAAAACCCTTTTGGAATCAATGACATTTACCCGTGATTGTGGAGGAACAAGAGTCCATGTCTGATTGCGAAGAAGCACTTGATACTCCTGCTCCATGGCCTCTCTCCAATGAGGAATGCGCATAGCAGCTTGATATGTGCGTGGCTCAGAGGATGGATCTGCGAGAGCAGCAGACATGCACGCCGCTAACCAAGCAACTGTGCCATCGTGACGTTGCTTAGGCTGGAAAATGCCACTCCGACTGCGCGTATGTGGACGTAGAGCAGCAGCAGGAGCCGGCGGAGGCGAAGGTGATGGAGACGTGACGGTCGCCGGAGATGCAGGAATCACCTCAGGCGAGCTCGGGACAGACGACTCCGGGCTGCATGGCGAAGACTGGCCCGACGACAGGGGCTCAGAGGCCATGGGCGAACCGAGGGTGGGCGAGGCCAGCTCCGGTGACACCGGCCCAGACGGCCTTGGCGAGGCGAGAGCAGGCGAGGCCGGCCCTGGTGAGAAGGGCCCAGACACCCTGGGCGAGGCAGGGGCGGGTGAGGCCAGGCCTGGTGATGACTGCCCCGACGCCCTGGGCGAGACGGGGACCGAGGAGGCCGGCCCAGTCGGCGGGGTTGCAGGGCGCGACGATGGCGAAGGCAGCCCAGAAGCCAGAGGCGACCGGGCCAGGATGTCGATCGGCCGTGCATGAGCACGGAAACCGAGGCCATGCAGGGGCGCCATGTGCTCCTCATGCACAACAGAAGGTGCCGATGATGAAGGCGATGGCGACGAAGAGGAAGATGGTGCTTCCAGAATCTCCAAACGAGCCCCACGACCAGTGCCTGCACCATGGTTAGGCAACAATAGAGGAGAATATGCAACATCATCAAATTGGTCAGAAGCAACAGAGGATGAATGCATGACAGGTGGCTCGGTAGTGGACACAGGGAGGTTGGCAAAGGGAAAAACATGCTCATCAAACACAACATCCCGAGAGATGTAGACACGATTAGTGGGAACATGAAGACATTTGTATCCTTTATGAAGAGAGCTATAACCAAGAAAAACACACTTCTTGGAACGAAACTCGAGCTTACGCTTGTTATATGGACGGAGATGGGGCCAGCAAGCACACCCAAACACCTTGAGAAAGGTGTAGTCCGGTTGTTCATTAAGGAGAACTTCAATGGGAGTCTTCATATTCAAAACACGAGTGGGAGTACGATTGATGAGAAAACATGCAGTGGTGAAAGCATCACTCCAAAAACGAAACGGAACAGATGCATGGGCCAAAAGAGTCAGACCAGCTTCAACAATGTGACGATGCTTACGTTCTACTGAACCATTCTGCTGATGTGTATGTGGACATGCTAAACGGTGAGTGATCCCAAGCGACTGAAAAAAGGAGTTGAGGTTGCGATACTCGCCACCCCAGTCCGACTGAACATGAACAATTTTGTGCTTGAGAAGGCGTTCAACATGTTTTTGGAACTGAACAAAAATGTCAAGCACATCAGATTTACGTTTGATAAGATAAAGCTAGGTAAAGCGGCTGTAAGCATCAACAAAACTGATATAATAATTATGACCACTAACAGAAGTCTGAGCAGGACCCCATACATCTGAAAACACAAGTTCTAAAGGATGTTTCACCTCACGACTGGACTCCGAAAAAGGAAGTTGATGACTCTTCCCCTGCTGACAAGCATCACACACTGCTACATCTTTATTACTAGACACACTAGGAAGCTCATGACGACGCAAAACATGCCGGACAATAGGTGTGGCCGGGTGACCAAGACGAGCATGCCACTGTGACGGAGATACCCGAACTCCACTGAAGACGCGAGCGACGCCAGGATGCTCCAGACGATAGAGACCTTGGCAGAGCCGCCCACTAAGAAGAATGTCCCTC